AGTCATTGGCTCCCTCTGCTGTCCATCACAGCCTCTCAGCCAATGAGGAGAGATAGGGGATGGTGCAAAGCTGTGGCTCCGTGCGTGAATGGACACATGGAGCAGTGGATGCCCCCATAGCAAGCTGCTTGCTATGGGGCACCCAACAGAAAGGAGTAGCCAGGAGCTCCGACAGGGGATCCAAGAAGAGGAGGATCCAAGCTGCTCTGTGCAAAACAACTTTTTTTTTTACAAAAAAAATAAAAATGAACCTTTAGTATCACTTTAAGCTCCAAGGGGCGGAGTGAAATGTGTTAGAGGCATGCCCTGACTGGAGTCCAGGCTGAGGCTGCTATTAATCTCTACTCATGCACATGGGTCTGCTTATAGATCTTTCCTTCTGACATTGGTGCTAATTGTACATAGCATATACATGCATGTTTTTTTGTTGGTAGGATTTAAAAGTGGAGTGAATACCGTTTCTGTAAAATGCTTGATGGGATAAGAGATACTTGGATATTTTTACCTACTGTATAATTGTATATATATGCCTATTACAACTTTTTCTAAAGCATTTTTGTTATGTGCTTCGTGTACTCTATATATTTATAAGAATTTGGACTTCTGTCAGGTTTTATTGTCTCCCCCTGCCCCCCTCCCATTTACTTTCTTTTTTCCCCTGTGCTGGCCCATCCTCCAGCTTCTTTCTCGCCTAGGTGAGAATGACATACAGTGGGGCAAAAAAGTATTTAGTCAGCCACCAATTGTGCAAGTTCTCCCACTTAAAAAGATGAGAGAGGCCTGTAATTGGCATCATAGGTAGACCTCAACTATGAGAGACAAAATGAGAAAAAAAATCCAGACAATCACATTGGCTGATTTGGAAAGAATTTATTTGCAAATTATGGTGGAAAATAAGTATTTGGTCACCTACAAACAAGCAAGATTTCTGGCTCTCACAGACCTGTACCTTCTTCTTTAAGAGGCTCCTCTGTCCTGCACTCATTACCTGTATCAATGGCACCTGTTTGAACTTGTTATCAGTATAAAAGACACCTGTCCACAACCTCAAACAGTCACACTCCAAAACTCCACTATGGTGAAGACCAAAGAGCTGTCGAGGGACATCAGAAACAAAATTGTAGACCTGCACCAGGCTGGGAAGACTGAATCTGCAGTAGGCAAGCAGCTTGGTGTGAACCAATCAACTGTGGGAGCAATAATTAGAAAATGGAAGACATACAAGACCACTGATAATCTCCCTCGATCTGGGGCTCCACACAAGATCTCACCCCGTGGGGTCAAAATGATCACAAGAACGCTGAGCAAAAATCCCAGGACCACACAATGACCTGCAGAGAGCTTGGACCAACGTAACAAAGGCTACCATCAGTAACGCACTACACCGCCAGGGACTCAGATCCTGCAGTGCCAGATGTGTCCCCCTGCTTAAGCCAGTACATGTCCGGGTCCGTCTGAAGTTTGCTAGAGAGCATTTGGATGATCCAGAAGAGGATTGGGAGAACGTCATATGGTCAGATGAAACCAAAATAGAACTGTTTGGTAGAAACACAACTCGTCGTGTTTGGAGGAGAGAGAATGCTGAGATGCATCCAAAGAACACCATACCTACTGTGAAGCATGTAGGTGGCAACATCATGCTTTAGGGCTGTTTCTCCGCAAAGGGACCAGGACAACTGATCCATGTACAGGACAGAATGAATGGGGCCATGTATCATGAGATTTTGAGTGCAAACCTCCTTCCATCAGCAAGGGCATTGAAGATGAAATGTGGCTGGGTCTTCCAACATGACAATGATCCCAAACATACCACCTGGGCAACGAAGGAATGGCTTCGTAAGAAGCATTTCAAGGTCCTGGAGTGGCCTAGCCAGTCTCCAGATCTCAACCCCATAGAAAACCTTTGGAGGGAGTTGAAAGTCCGTGTTGCCCAGCGACAGCCCCAAAACATCACTGCTCTAGAGGAGATCTGCATGGAGGAATGGGCCAACATACCAGCAACAGTGTGTGCCAACCTTGTGAAGACTTACAGGAAACGTTTGACCTCTGTCATTGCCAACAAAGGATATATACAGTGGGGATCGAAAGTTTGGGCACCCCAGCTAAAAATTTGTATTAATGTGCATAAAGAAGCCAAGGAAAGATGGAAAAATCTCCAAAAGGCATCAAATTACAGATTAGACATTCTTATAATATGTCAACAAAAGTTAGATTTTATTTCCATCATTTACACTTTCAAAATAACAGAAAACAAAAAAATGGAGTCTGCAAAAGTTTGGGCACCCTGCAGAGTTAATATCTTGTACTGCCCCCTTTGGCAAGTATCACAGCTTGTAAACGCTTTTTGTAGCCAGCCAAGAGTCTTTCAATTCTTGTTTGAGGTATCTTTGCCCATTCTTCCTTACAAAAGTCTTCCAGTTCTTTGAGATTTCTGGGCTGTCTGTCACGCACGGCTCTTTTAAGGTCTATCCATAGATTTTCAATTATGTTGAGGTCAGGAGATTGTGAAGGCCATGGCAAAACCTTCAGTTTACGCCTCTTGATGTAATCCCCCGTGGATTTCGAGGTGTGTTTAGGATCATTATCCATTTGTAGAAGCCATCCTCTCTTTAACTTCAGCTTTTTCACAGATGGCGTCAAGTTACCATCCAAAATTTGCTGAAATTTTATTGAATCCATTTTTCCTTCTACTCGTGAGATGTTCCCTGTGCCACTGGCTGCAACACAACCCCAAAGCATGATTGATCCAACCCCATGCTTAACAGTTGGACAGAGGTTCTTTTCATTAAATTCTGTGCCCCTTCTTCTCCAAACGTACCTTTGCTCATTCCGGCCAAAAAGTTAAATTTTAACCTCATCGGTCCACAGAACTTGTTTCCAAAATGCATCAGGCTTGTCTATATGTTCATTTGCAAAGTTCAAACCATGATTTTTGTGGTGAGGACGTAGAGGTTTTCTTCTGATGACTCTTCCATGAAGACCATATTTGTACAAGTATCTCTTTATAGTGGAATAGTGTACCACAACTCCAGTGTCTGCCAGATCTTTCTGGAGGGATCGTGCAGTCAAACGTGGGTTTTGAATTGTTTTTCTCACAATCCTGCGAGCTGTTCTGTCTGATATTTTTCTTGGTCTTCCAGATCTTGCTTTAACTTCCACTGTTCCTGATGACTGCCATTTCTTAATTACATTCCAAACAGAGGATATTGACATCTGAAAAAGCTTTGCTATCTTCTTATAGCCTTCTCCAGCTTTGTGAGCGTCAACTATTTTCAGTTTCAGTTTTCTAGACAACTGCTTAGAAGAACCCATGGTGCTGATTGTTGGGGCAAGGTCAGATAAGTCTGGGCATTTAAAACCTTTGAGATTGACATCACCTGGTCTTCCCAGACGATGATTGAGAAGCAATCCATGACACTGGCAGGTCTCAGCTTGGCAAAGGGGGCAGTGCATGCTATAAATTCTGCAGGGTGCCCAAACTTTTGCAGACTCCATTTTTTTGTTTTCTGTTATTTTGAAAGTGTAAATGATAGAAATAAAATCTAACTTTTGTTGACATATTATAAGAATGTCTAATCTGTAATTTGATGCCTTTTGGAGATTTTTCCATCTTTCCTTGGCTTCTTTATGCACATTAATACAACTTTTTAGCTGGGGTGCCCAAACTTTCGATCCCCACTGTAACAAAGTATTGGGATGAACTTTTGATATTGACCAAATACTTATTTTCCACCATAATTTGCAAATAAATTCTTTCCAAATCAGCCAATGTGATTGTCTGGATTTTTTTTTTCTCATTTTGTCTCTTATAGTTTAGGTCTACCTATGATGCCAATTACAGGACTCTCTCATCTTTTTAAGTGGGAGAACTTGCACAATTGGTGGCTGACTAAATACTTTTTTGCCCCACTGTAGCTACTGCTTCTGATGCCTCCTCTGATATGCATGTTACATATCCTAGTAGGCATCATCTGCATTGAAGGAGCTGGCAGGTGTCATCAGGGATCCGGCTCTCTGACAGCTGTCCTCTGATGACATCAGAAGTGAAGATGGCGGCTGGGGATCTGGTTGTGCAGTATTATTAATATTATAATACAGGGTTTATATAGCGCCAGCAGTTTGCTCAGTGCGTTACAATATAAATGGAGACAATACAGCAACAATACAGTTCAATATAAGAGGGTTAGGAGGGCCCTGCTCCTGAGAGCTTACAATCCAGTAGGGGGGGCTGGTTGTACAAAAGGTAATAACTGTGGATGGACTGATGAGGAGTAGAAGATTTGATTATTAGCTGAAGGCAGGATTTGCTTCCCTGAAGAGATAGCTTTTTAGGGATCGCCTAAAAGTGAATGCAGCAAAGAAAGTTAAACCGTACTTGTGATTACAGTTACAGGTTACAGGAACACAGATTTGGAGCACTTGATTCTAAACACTTCAAGTAGAGGACTCTTTAAGTGTTATATTAGTCTTTAGTAAGTGACTGTTTAAGTTTCATATTAAAGTGGTTGTAAACCCATACATATAGCCAGTGAAGTGATTGGCCTAAGTTCTTACCTGTTTATCTGCAGCTCTCTGTCCTCTACAGTTGTTCAAAGTGCAGAATTTAAAGCTTGTGTGAGCTTTCAGAAAACAAGGTCAGGTAGCAGGAGTTACACTTTGCAGAGCTTGGCGAGGAAAGCTCTGAGAGCTGATTGAAGGAATGGGACAACCTTTCTTCATGGTGCACATACTGAGGCTGTCAATCACAGGCTGTGTGCTGGAAATCCCTCCCTCCCTCACCTTTTTTTTTTTTTTCCTTGGTGTCAGGAAAACCTGCCAAAATTGCCTCATACAGATAGCAAAGGAACAAGGCAGCAGACAGAAATGACACTTAGTGCTCTGGATTGAGACAAGTACACACTATAGAGAAATGTGCTATGTTCATATTTCATGTCAGAGGGTTTAACCACCTTATAATTTTTTTGCCATCTTGCTTAGTTTTCCTACTTTTATTTTTGCAGGTCGACCCACTGTTTACTAATGAAGTCAAAGCAAAGCTCAGCAAGTAAGTATGTTAAACATGGCATTCTTTCCATCTTTATTGAATTAGTCATGTACAGGCCAGGTCTGCTTAGCTCTGTAATCATTTGCCTAAATCTATCAGGATTAAGTCATACACCTGCATACATACACCTGCATATTTGAACATGAGAATCCAGCTGTTTGATGCATCTACTTCCACCAGATACTATTAAACAGTTGTGACAGAGACTTAAATCACAAAGTATTAACACAAGTATAAGGAGGTTTATTCAAGCCATGTGACTGTATCGAATCCCTTTGGACTGTCCCTTTTTGTTTAACCACTTGACCTCTGGAAGATTTACCCCCTTCCTTGACCAGGCCATTTTTTGCGATACGGCACTGCATTATTTTAATTGACCACTGTGCGGTCATACAATTCTGTACATAAATGAAATTTATGTCATTTTTTTTTACCACAAATAGAGATCGCCTCTGGGTTTTTTATTTTTTGCACCATACAAAAAAAAAAAGACCGAACATTTTGAAAAACAATATTTTCTACTTTCTGCTATAAATTTATCCAATAAAAAAATAAAAAATCAAATAGCTTCATAAATTTAGGCCAATATGTATTCTGGTGCATATTTTTGGTAAAAAAAAAAAAAAAATTTCAATAACCGTATATTGATTGGTCTGAGCAAATTTTTTTGTGTCTACAAACTTTGGTATATATACTAGACTTTTTATTTTATTTTTTTACTAGTAATGGCAGTGATCAGCGACTCATAGCAGGACTGCGATATTGCAGTGGACAATCGGACACGGACACTAACTGACACTTTGTGGGAACCAGTGACACTAATACAGTGTTCAGTGCTAAAAATATGCATGGACACTGTACTAATGACATTGGCTGGGAAGGGGTTAAACATCTAGGGTGATCAAGGAGAGTTAACTGTGTGCTTAGCTAAGTGTAATTGGTACTGTGTGTGCTGCTTTCACTTGGTAATGTGTTGGATTCTATTCTGTGCTCTGCAGGGAAAGAAAATCCAGCACATTGGTGCTGACAGGACACAGCTCTGCCTTGTTTACATAGGCAGAGCTTTGTTCTGTCAGTCTCCCAGATGATCGGCGGGTGCCGGCGTTCATCCATTGACTGGCACCCACTGATCGGCTTCTGCTTTGACAAATCAAAGCAGAAGTGTTACATGCGTGCACCCATACCAGGAAGTGCAGAATCACGTTTATATATAATAAACGTAATTCTGCACAGCTTGGCTGCCCTTGTAGCAGTATATCTGCTATGGGGCGGTCGGCAAATGGTTAAATAAGGATCCTTATACTGGTGTGTTAGCTTTGCGAATTGAGCTTATTAGTTAGCTTCTTTGGTGTTCAATATGCTGGACTTGTTGGCATTAGATTACTAACAGAACTAGGTCCTAATCAATATTAATCATCCTTTCTTATATACTGTAGATTTAACCAATTAGATATCCAATGAAGCAGGTTCAAGTTAAAATTGCAACCTTTGAGAATGATTGGACAAATAATGAATACCTGCACTTGCTTTTTAGAAAAAAAAACATTCCAACTTAAACTGAAAATATTTGATCTATAGTAAAAAGAAAGGTTTGATGTTCCATATCAAAAATACTGAAAGTTCTAAGGCTAGGTTGACATCTGTGTGGGTGGTTCCCACTGCGGGTCCGCACCCATTCCCGCACCCGTTCCCGCAGCCTGTGTTTTAGGAGGCGTGACAGCCCATTCAAATGACTGGCCTACCGTGTCTGCGCAAAATATGAACCTAGCCTAATAGAACACTGATCACATGATTGCGAAAAAAGTTGGAAGGCAGGGCTTGTTGCTTGTGAATCTTTAGAGCTGAACTCTAGGAATGATTGTTTTTTAAAAATTACATTTGTCCTGTTTTGTCATGGGTTTCTGGGGGCTGCAGAAATTCACTGTAGTAGCCTTTGTTACATATGGTCTGGTCTCAGGTGCTGCTAAAGCGACTTGCCATCTGTGTACTGACTGGATTGCTCACTCAGCACCTCCACCATTCAGCGAACATCTTGTATTTTTTTCAATGACCATAAGGCATTTTTTCAGTGGATGTGGTAGAGAGGGGGATTAGTTGATGTCACAATCTTCGCCTCATTGTCACACCTTATATTCATTGAAAAAAAAAAAATTGAAGATGTTTTCTGAATGGCGAAGGCGCCAAACGAGTGATCTGTTCCATCTGTGCCTGTCTTTAACCTGTGTTCAGAATATGATGGCAAGTTGCTTGAGCAGCACCCAGAGCAGATCATGTATGTAGCACAGGCTGCTATAGTGATATTCTGCATCCCCAGCGGCCCTCTCCATGGGAGATATGAAGAATTAGATGTAGTCAAGCTAGACCAATGTAAGTAAAAAAAAAAAGAGTCATGGAGTTAGCCTTAATCTTGCAAGCATCACCAAACCTTAGGCCCGGTTTACTCTGATGTGGTGCAGGATTCGCAGTGAATTCTGTGCGTTTCCTGCACCGCAACAGAATCGCACTTCCTTTATGGGAAGTGCTGCAGGTGTCAATGTTAAGGTAATTACACCCCCAAAATGGTTTGCAACATGCAGTGTGCGATTGGCTGACTCGCATGGGTTTGATCACCCATGCAATCTGATTCCAGTGTGAAAAAAAAAAGGGTCCTGCTCCATTCCTGCAGGTGCCATTGTGCGATTTGAGTCATACAAAATGAATGGGCTCAAATTGAACAAAGAATCACATGATTTGAATAGGAAAGCAGTGCGATTTCTGCCCAAATCACATGTGGTTTCCTGTACTACATCAGTGTGAACTTGCCTTTAAAGAGGATCTTCATCCTATAAAAACAATTTAAAAGTCAACAGCTACAAATACTGTAGCAGCGGACTTTTAAAAAAAACAAACAATTACCTGTCACAGGATCCAGCGATGTCCTCACCCAGCCCAGCACTTTGCACGTCTTCGGGTCCAGGTGCCAGAATCTCAGCTGTGTGTAGCTGCTTGTGACTGCTTGCGGTTTCACAGCCGGCTGCCCACTGCACATGTGTAAGCTGCACTGCACCCCACGAATGGTCCTGCACTTTCCTGGGACCTGCAACGTGTCCCAGGAGGCTGTGGATAGAGGTGAAGGGAGTGCAAATTAGCCGGTACCTGATAAAATCAGGTACCCCTCCTCCCCCCCTCAAAAAAAGACATTCCAAATATTGGAGGGGGGGGGGGGAGGAAAATCCATACTTCCCCTTGTGGATGAAGTTCTGCTTTAAGTAGAACTATAGGCAAACCTTTTTTGTATTATAGATAGAGTAATGGAGCGTTAGAACTCCTTTCAGGTTTTTTTTTTTTTTCCTATGTGTCCCATTGAGGAGATTTCCCTGCACTTCCTGTACCATAGAGCGGAAATCTCTGCAAATTAAGGGAATCCCTTGGGAACCCTCAGGTCACCAGAACAAGTGTCCCTGTTAGAAGATTTCCCCTCTATTCATTTTCATGGGACAGCTCAAAATGTGGGGTTTTCTTTTACTTTCAATGATCATGATAAACAGGACAAATAGGGAGAGTGAATCTCCCTAATGCAGCAATAAAAACCTAATAGGTGTTCTAGTCCATCTCCAGTCTATCCAAAAACTAAAAAAAAAGTTTGCCTTTAGTTGCACTTTAATGTATATAATGTATTTTTTTTTCCTCACATAGTTTTTCATTTGCAAACATTACAGTTTCTCATTTCTTTAGACATGATTTTAGAGCATAAAATCCACATCTAAAATGCTACACACTACGGGAAACCATACCATTCAGAAAAACTGCTGCTTGCTGGGATTCATTGTAATGGTCATATCATCATATTGATAATAAGGAACAAAGGACTGCATGCTTATTAGGATGTTGAGATATTCTGAAATGTTCTTCATTGATCTAACCTACTGTGCCAAAGTCAATGAAGCCTATGCTGAAAGTCAGCCCTGATCCTCATGGCTTTTGAAACCTTGTAAAGAGTGGTTTTGTGTGAATGGATGCCTAATAATTGTGCTTAAATTCATTTTTCACTTACTTAAAATGTGTAATGTAGAAACATTTTATACTTTGTCCGTTTAAAAGGTCAATGAGTCTCTGAATAGTACTGTATTCCTGTTTTGTCAGCCTTGATGGAGTTCATCTAATTGAAGAAATTCCACAAGCAGATCTCCAGGCTGTAATAAAGAAAAGTTTTGCGGTGGTAAACAGTTCAGTGTCTGAAGGGATGTCAGCAGCGATTCTTGAGGTAGGAGGTATCATATATTATGTCCGAACTAGAAAATAATAAAGAAGACATTAAATAATGTGTACAAAGTATTTTACATTAAGAGTAGTGCAGTAAGCATTGTCGCATATTTTTTTTGATAAATGGTTGAAATCACCGAACTGTTTTTAATGGCTCACAGATATGTGGCTTGTATTAATATGGCATGCTGGGCTTGCTAAAAAGTAAGACTAGCACTCCTTAATGTAGCAAAGACTTAACCTGTTAATCCACAAGTTAAGTACCGTATTTTTCGCTCCATACGACGCACCTGACCATAAGACGCGCCTAGGTTTTAGAGGAGAAAAACGAGAAAAAAAATATTCTGAACCAATGGACTGCAGACACAGTACAGGGGATGACCAGAGACTGCGGACACAGTACAGGGGATGACCAGAGACTGCGGATATAGGACAGGAGATGACCAGAGACTGCGGACATAGTACAGGAGATGGACCAGAGACTGCGGACACAGTACAGGAGATGACCAGAGACTGCGGACACAGTACAGGGGATGACCAGAGACTGCGGACATAGTACAGGGGATGACCAGAGACTGCGGACACAGTACAGGAGATGACCAGAGACTGCGGACATAGTACAGGAGATGGACCAGAGACTGCGGACACAGTACAGGAGATGACCAGAGACTGCGGACACAGTACAGGGGATGACCAGAGACTGCGGACATAGTACAGGGGATGACCAGAGACTGCGGACACAGTACAGGAGGATGACCAGAGACTGCGGACACAGTACAGGAGATGACCAGAGACTGCGGACACAGTACAGGAGATGACCAGAGACTGCGGACACAGTACAGGAGATGACCAGAGACTGCGGACACAGTACAGGAGATGACCAGAGATTGCGGACATAGTACAGGGGATGACCAGAGACTGCGGACATAGTACAGGAGATGACCAGAGACTGCGGACATAGTACAGGGAATGACCAGAGTCTGCAGACATAGTACAGGGAATGACCAGAGACTGTGGACATAGTACGAATGACCAGAGACTGCGGACAGTAAAGGAGATTACCAGAGACTGCGGACCTTTGGGGAAGGAGAGGGAACGGGTACCTGAATTTGACAGGTACCCGCTCCCACTTCCGCGGAGTTGTCCTTCCTTCTTCTTCCCGCGGCGGCTTCTGTGACAGCCGGGTGCCCACTACGCATGCGCGAGAAGCGCTGTGCTTTGTGAATGGCCCGGAGCCTTCTGGGACCTGTCATGTGTCCCAGAAGATACCGGACCATTCACAAAGCACAGCCCTTCTCGTGCATGCGCAGTGGGCACCCAGCTATCACAGAAGCCGCCGCGGGAAGACTGCAGCGCTGGAGTGAGGAACAGGTAAGGTCCTGCAGGAGAGAAGAGCTGAGCGGCTGACCCGATATTCTGACATGGTGGCGGCAGAAATACCGGACCGACCGCTTTACATTCGCTCCATAAGACGCACTGACATTTTCCCCCCTTTTTGGGGGGGAAAAAGTGCGTCTTATGGAGCGAAAAATACGGTAATTGGCATCTTAGTGTTTCAATGGACAGTTAAGTTACCTCCAGAGTACATAAAGGTAAGTGGGTGCTCTGGTTTGAAGAGACCATAGCTCTTTCCCTTAAAAATATCTTCCTCTTGGTTGTTAGTGCTACACTATGTAATAAAAAATAGTATTTTTAAATGTATAATACTATTGTAGTGCACACGGTGCATATCTGTGGTTTGGTTAATGTTAAAGTGTTGATCACATGTAATGCAAGTCACAAAAAATATGTTATACTTCCCTGCTCTGTGCAATGGTTGCAGTGGCCTTGAACCTCCTCTACTGAAGTTTCTCACTGGTGCTGTCTGCTCCTCATTTTCTCTGTCTGCCCCCATAGCAAGAGCTTGCTATGGGGGCAGATGTGTGGGTTTGATCCCAAGTCAGGCTGCATGCATCTGTAAACACACAAAGTACGGCTCGGCCCTGTTAACCCCCCCCCCCCCCAATCCCTTCTCACAGGATTTGACTAACAGCAGCAGGAGCCAGTGCTGCCAAGTCTCCTGTGAGAAGAGAAAGAGCAGAGAAACCTGCTGCAGATGGGCTCAGCTCTGTATCAAAATCGAGGTCAGGTAAGTATTTAAGATGGGGCTGGGAGAGAGAGCAACTGTTGAAGGTTTTTACCTTATTGCAGATAATGCAGTACCCATTTATGCCTGAGGTTGACATTTTTTGAATTGTGAAAATTCAGACCTCGGCGGTGACCTTGAGTAGTAGGTTATAAATAACTCCCACATCACTATGTACCAATAATGGAACGTTGGGCATTAATGGGTTAAGGTAAAAATGACTTTTGTAGGGCTACCCCTTTAGGCGAGATTAATACAGGTTCTTTACCAAACAGTGCAGAGGTAGCCAGGCACATGGCAACATATTACTCACTCTGGCTCAATGATCAGTCTAGGGCAGTGGTGGGCAACCTTTTTTTTCAACTGAGCCAAATCTCGCCAAAACCATGATTGAAATTTATTTTGAGAGCCACATTTTTAAAACTGAAAATACATCTCCCATATAGTAATTCATCCCCCATAGTAATTCATCCCCCATATAGTAATTCATCCCCCATAGTGTAATTCATCCCCCATAGTAATTCATCCCCCATCGTAATTCATCCCCCATAGTGTAATTCATCCCCCATCGTAATTCATCCCCCATAGTAATTCATCCCCCCATATAGTAATTCATCCCCCATATAGTAATTCATCCCCCATAGTAATTCATCCCCCATATAGTAATTCATCCCCCATATAGTAATTCATCCCCCATAGCAATTCATCCCCCGTATAGTATTTCATCCCTCGTATAGTATTTCATCCCCCGTATAGTATTTCATCCCCCATATAGTATTTCATCCCTCATATAGTATTTCATCCCTCATATAGTATTTCATCCCCCATATAGTAATTCATCCCTCATATAGTATTTCATCCCTCATATAGTATTTCATCCCCCCATATAGTATTTCATCCCCCCATATAGTATTTCATCCCTCATATAGTAATTCATCCCTCATATAGTATTTCATCCCTCATATAGTATTTCATCCCCCCATATAGTATTTCATCCCTCATATAGTATTTCATCCCCCCATATAGTATTTCATCCCTCATATAGTATTTCATCCCCCCATATAGTATTTCATCCCTTATATAGTATTTCATCCCCCCATATAGTAATTCATCCCTCATATAGTATTTCATCCCTCATATAGTATTTCATCCCTCATATAGTAATTCATCCCTCATAAAGTATTTCATCCCTCATATAGTATTTCATCCCTCATATAGTATTTCATCCCTCATATAGTAATTCATCCCTCATATAGTAATTCATCCCTCATATAGTATTTCATCCCTCATATAGTATTTCATCCCCCCATATAGTATTTCATCCCTCATATAGTATTTCATCCCCCCATATAGTATTTCATCCCTCATATAGTATTTCATCCCCCATATAGTATTTCATCCCCCATATAGTATTTCATCCCCCATATAGTAATTCATCCCCCATATAGTATTTCATCCCCCATATAGTATTTCATCCCCCATATAGTATTTCATCCCTCATATAGTATTTCATCCCTCATATAGTATTTCATCCCTCATATAGTATTTCATCCCTCATATAGTATTTCATCCCCCCATATAGTATTTCATCCCTCATATAGTATTTCATCCCCCCATATAGTATTTCATCCCTTATATAGTATTTCATCCCCCCATATAGTAATTCATCCCTCTCATATAGTATTTCATCCCTCATATAGTATTTCATCCCTCATATAGTATTTCATCCCCCCATATAGTATTTCATCCCTCATATAGTATTTCATCCCCCCATATAGTATTTCATCCCTCATATAGTATTTCATCCCCCCATATAGTATTTCATCCCTTATATAGTATTTCATCCCCCCATATAGTAATTCATCCCTCATATAGTATTTCATCCCTCATATAGTATTTCATCCCTCATATAGTAATTCATCCCTCATATAGTATTTCATCCCTCATATAGTATTTCATCCCTCATATAGTATTTCATCCCCCATATAGTAATTCATCCCTCATATAGTATTTCATCCCCCCATATAGTATTTCATCCCCCCATATAGTATTTCATCCCCCATATAGTATTTCATCCCCCATATAGTATTTCATCCCCCATATAGTAATTCATCCCCCATATAGTATTTCATCCCCCATATAGTATTTCATCCCCCATATAGTAATTCATCCCTCATATAGTATTTCATCCCTCATATAGTAATTCATCCCCTCATATAGTAATTCATCCCTCATATAGTATTTCATCCCTCATATAGTATTTCATCCCTCATATAGTATTTCATCCCTCATATAGTAATTCATCCCTCATATAGTATTTCATCCCTCATATAGTATTTCATCCCTCATATAGTATTTCATCCCTCATATAGTATTTCATCCCCCCATATAGTATTTCATCCCCCCATATAGTATTTCATCCCTCATATAGTATTTCATCCCTCATATAGTATTTCATCCCCCACAGTACTATTCCCCCCCCCCTTCTAGTAAGCCAAGTCCCCCGTGTCAATTCACTTACCTTTTGCGTTCCTCTCGCTGTCTTCCCACGCCGTTCGGGTCTTCAGGGCGGACTGTGAGAGGAGCCTAGCTCCCCTCCCCTCACGTTCGGCACGCTGCCCCGCCTACACACATCCTGACAGCCACATCCGGATTAAAAGGTCCGCGCGGACTTTTGGGGCTGCCAACCGAGAGGAGGCAGGGGAGCGGCCGACCGAGAGGAGGGAGGGGAGCGGCCGAGAGAGAGAGGGAGGGGAGCAGGCGCCCGGCACACAGAAGAGCCGCATTAGAGTGGGTAAAGAGCCGCATGTGGCTCGCGAGCCGCGGCTTGCCGACCACTGGTCTAGTCTTTTAGGCTTTTTATTGATGAATAATTTGGGATTGGATGTAGGGTGATTTGGGATACTCCAGCTTCACCAAATATACGCAGGAGGACATTTCTCTATGTTGCAAACTTCAGGGACAGATCTTCTGCTCAGCTCATAGTACAGTCCTCCCATGAAAGACTAGTAGAGGTCAGAGGTATGTACCCCTCAGGAGGGGAACTACTGTACATAACCCAAGTTCAGAGAGGAACTACTTAGCCAAAACTTAACGTAAAAACATGGCATAAAACAAAACTAAAGTGGGCTAGTTGGGGTGTACCTCTCAGTAGAGGAACTATATAGCCCAGCAATCCCAACAGTACACAGTCATCAGGATCTTGTAGTAAAGCAGTACTCACAAGGCCAAGGAAGCAGCTGTGCCCCTTAAGCTTCCTCCAGGTGCCTTCCAGTGAGGGTATGCGAACAGGATCCTCAGGTGAAGTTCGTGGTGTCACGGATAACTTCCAGATGCAAGCCTTCCAGCTCTGCCCAGCTGGGACCTTGATGAACGACTGCTGGAGTCAGGAAAGCTGATGCAAGTGGGGGTAGCAACCCCCACCTAGATGGGTGGATTCAATGAGGGAAAGAAAAACCCTGCTTCTCTGAACCCAGTCCATTCATATGCCTCTCTCCAACCACCTTCTGGGCACACCTCCTCAGTGATTGGCTGGAGCACTATAAATATTCAGGCTGAGATTTGCCTTGCTCAGCCCTCTATGTTCCAGAAGCCTCTGGAAGATAGGGCAGTGCAATCACACCTACAGTCTGTGAGACTCAGAACTGCCAAAAACATTCAATAACTGCTCTACTGGTTACAGAGGAGCCAAAAAGAAAGAACTTGGCCTACAACCTATCAACCCTACTAGGAGGGTGCTA